ATTCATAAATCATGAAATAACTTCCATAAGGTATCAATTCTGCTCTCTTAGGATTGTGCTTCTGCACTCTAAGTTTATCATTAAAGGACCACGCTACTTTCCACAGTAAATTCCTGCTTTGATTCCATATCAGATGATTCAGATCTTCTGAGACAAATGATCATCAGCTGACTTGCTCTTAAGCAAAATGCTGAATCTACAAAATCATGTGAGAGGTAATTGAAATTAATAAAACCAAGAGTTTATATCAATTACCTCCTCTTTGCATCAGTATCACCAATTCCATACCTACCACTCCAGGTACTAGTAGTATCAAGTGGGGCTGCAGCACAAACTAATTAAGGGTGTACTGATTTAAATTAAGCCAAAGAGGGTCTAATTAAGTCAACAATAAGAAAAGGGAAAGGGCAGCCTAAAGAGTAGAAGGAAAAAACCACCAGCCTCCAACAGTCAGAGTGGCAGTGCAATGCTTGACACCAAACAATCAAGTATATGAAAGTCAGTTCTCACTGTAGTTTTCTTGCTTTGCTTTCTTTCCACAAGATTTTGGTGCATGAATGGCACTCAAATACGTTATCAGAAACATCTCCTTGAATGTTTTAACTCCATACATGCAGCTTATTTGTAATTTAGGAGTTTAGGATCTGATGCAGATCTTGCAGTGGGAAGACTCCCCTGCATCAATACTTCTTAGATAAGGCCTGAGAATGATTAAGAACTACTTCAGTTTTTCTGCAGAATGGATTCTACAGGCATCATCTTAGAATTGGACTTTCCAGACAGGCTCACATTGGTTTTCTGTATATTGGAGAATGTGCCTTATGGTTACTGCTTGTAACATTCAAAGTTACAAGCAGTAACCATAAGGCACATTCTCCAATATACAGAAAAATAATCTAATCAATAACTAGGTCACACATTTACTTGTAGTGTAATAAAATATGTATCTGATCTACTGTTACTCTTCTAAAGCTTTATTTTACCCAAGGACTTATTTTGCAACTCCTTTCTTCAATTATATACATATATATAAAATAACATTTAGATGTGTGCAAAGAACAGTCTTCTGTTAGATCTTAAATCAGTAAACTATGAAAACTCATAGGAAAACAAACAACTTTAACTTTCATCAATATAATATCCACAAGTCCATTATTACTGAACCTCCTATCTACCATTAAATATTAATGATCAAAGAACAAAACCTAGAGTGACCATCAACATAATGCTAAAATTTAAAATGAACACGTTAGTTTTTTCTCAATCCTTGTTGCTTCTTCTACGAAACTTCTTGGTTCCACAAAGAAAGGACTCAGTTCAAAACAACTCAAAAGATGTTTTCTTCTCCATATTGCTTTCCCAATCATTTAAGGCAGAAGTGGGGTTTTGGCAAAACAAATCTTTTCAGAAAACCTTAGTGTCTTCCAAGGACTGCAGGTTCTATTGTTTAGAAAAGGGGAATTAATATTATATTGCAAAAATAGATGTTCTTCAGCAATACGAATGTGTGACTCACAAGTGCTATTTAATATTCTGGATTAGGAGAGGTGGAAGAATTCAGTAAATTCAAAGACACAGTATATTATACAAAAATCTCTACTGTCAGAGTCACTCTGCTTAACATGCAAAGACAGTCACTGTAAAACAAAATAAATGCAAGAACTAGCAGGTTTATGTCAAAAGGGAAGAAGAGGAAACCATAAAAATTATCATACTAATCCATCTATGGATTTCCTGACATATTCTTAAACTAATGCTGATACTTCATGAAATTTAAGTGAATTATCCTAAGAATTAGCAGCTTGATGTTAAAGAATTCCAAATGTAAATAATGTTTTTTTCCACAACATCTGTCACAGTAACATCACTGAATAAATGCAAATGTAAACTGGAAATGGAGAAGTATGTTGTACAGCAGACTGAGTTTAGGTCAGAACACGGTGAAGTTCAGATTTTAATTTTCTGTCACCGTTCTTCTACCTGGACACTGTTTCTGCTGGAATGGCTAACCAGTGTTTCCCTCTTTTCAGGTTTGCAGCAGACCACTCAAGAATCAGCACAGAGAAAACCCTCATTCAATATTCTCAGGTGTTGCTTCCAAGTTTCCTTGCTTTGTTGCTTCTTGGCAGCCTGTCAAAAAAGCACCTTTTGTGTTCTCCTGAGCCAATTCCACTACACCCCAAACCTGCAGCAGCAGAGTCTGCACGTGGGGAGATTTTTAGTACAGCCAAAACAACAACTACTGCATGTGGAAAGAAGTGGAACCAAACCAGGAGCCTGCCCACAGCCCACAACTACCAAGAGAGCAAAAGGATCACATCCATCCTTCTGGGACACCACTGGGGACAACAAGACTTTGCAGAGAGGACAACAAAGAGGATTTGGGGTTAGAACTCCTCTGCCTGAACACTCCTGACAGCCCAGGACACCCCTGGCTCTCAAGCAAAGCCTGGAACTCAGTCCCAGCTGTGCTTCCTGTGGGCAGCACTGAGAGGTTCAAGTCTCTAACCCCTCTGGCTGTAGGAGACTCACCAAAGGTGGGCACGGCAAGCTGAGCCTACCTTCTAAGGAAGAGAAAGAAAAATGCTTAAAAGGCACCAGTGCTAAGGTAATATTTACATTTCAGAGTAAAGTTACTGACAGTTGAGAAATGTAAACTTTGGAAGTGTTTGAGTAGCTGCTGTTTAAGCAAACTCATTTCTGTTTTTTTTTAAAGGATGATTTCAGACAACATATGCAATTACATGATCACACACTATTATTTCTACAATACCTTTAACTCATCCAGTGACTACAAAAGCTGCATAAACAAGCTATGGCATTTCTTCATTAACTAGGAAGATACCAAAAGTCAGTAATTTATTCAGGATTAAAATTATTTCTATTTTCAGATATACCATTTTTCAAGATATGTTTTATATTTTAAGATGTTTTTGTTTCTGAACTGACCAATTAATAAAGAAGATGCCAAGTTGTTAGAAACTTCCTGATGAGAAGAAAAACTGAATTAGGTGTAACATCTTGGTGCTGAAAGCTAAATGCATTTGGATATTAGTATGAAGTGGTTACCAAGAGACACAGAATTTCTATAAATTATTATATTTTAATGTATTTGTTTTCTGATAACATTGAAGCTTCTTATGTGAGAGTTTTTGGTGGCAGCACTCTTTACACACTGATTTCCACAAATAAGAAATTGCTGTGGATGCCTGATTGCTTCCGTTGCATTATATCTACTTTGTTTGCAAAGGGGCTTTTAATAATTCACTATTGCTCACAAATAACCCTGTGCAGAGCATAAAATGGACACATTTTTGAAAACAGATGAGTGGGTATTCAATAACCTAACCAAGATCACAATACCAGCAGGTTTTGAATAGTATGGTCGTGCTTTATCTTTCTGTTTAATTCATCAAGTCACTAAATACACTACTAAAAAGGTTTCTGTGCACCTGGGCAAGGGTAATTATTAAGTAGCACTGTCAATTCTTACCTTATCTACACATACTGCAAATACAAAAATAATTTATGCTTTCAAAATGTTAAATAATGGACTCTCTGATTTTAAAAAAACAAAACCAGAAAGCAATGTGTTGTTTTGACACAGGAAACTGAAGACTCAAAATTACAATCTATTTTTTTAAATGATGTTTCAAACTTTCCCTGACAGTTGAGTCCTTCCAAGATATATACAAAACATTTTTGTGGTGAAGTAAAACCCCTTAACAATACCACAAATGTTTGCTTTCCCACTCCAAAAATCTATACATGTAGAAAGAAAGTGAAGTTTGGACATGTAGTATCAGACATAATTACCAACTGTTGCATTAGTAGTGAATCCATCTCCCAGCAGGAGTGGGAACATCACTCCAAGATTATTTATTGAAATGGCCGACTGTAATTTCATTGTTCAGGGAATTTGAATATTCAGTGGCTGGGATGCATTAGCAGGGTATTTGCTCACAAAGAGGCAGTTTGATCTAAATCAGTTGACTGGCAACTCCCAAGCACAGCACTGGTTCAACAAGTCACTGTTTGCCAACACCATCTCTTGAAACCGCTTCCAGCTATACTACAAAGACATCCAACTGCACATCAAACCTCACTGCAAGGCAGCAGCAGGATTTTAGCCTCCAAAATACTGCAGGCAGTTAAATGGGACTTGTACATCTTAAATACCTTCAGTATTAGACAGCTAAGTAGCAGTTAATACTTGGGTTTTTTTTCTGAAATGGAATTTGTATTTCAAATTTTGTTTCACAATTATTAGCTTTATAAAAATTATTTCAAGTGCTTAGAATGAAATAGCCTCAGTATTAAACCTGACCATAAAAGAAAATTGAATGTAATTAATGTTTGTAATGGTTTCTGTCTTTGTTCCTCTCCCTTCATTTTTCATCTAGCTCAACAAGCATCTATTAGCCTTTGAACTCACATATCACCAAATTATCAAGAACTAAAACTCAAGAAATGTGCAAAATATACAAAATGCCAAACAGAACATGTGAAAAGTAATCTGCATGTGCCTCCTAAGTATGGTAGATGCAGATGGCAAATTTTCAATGCTACCAAAAATTGTACACCTCATACAACTAGCAACTGTTGAAGACATTCATTTCATATATTCCAAATGATGGAAATGAAAACTGCAGTCATATTCCTAAAAGCTCCAGGTTGAAAATCACTATATGCAGAGTAGAGATGGTGACTTCAATCAACTTAACCTTAGGCATGAGGATTTCCACAGAAGCAAACATATGCAAACTTTGCTCAACTGGCAGTCAGGATAACACAAATTTCCTGTACTTCCCAAGTATATAATTTATTTAAATCACCCAGAAATTTAGTAGTAATGTTCATACCCAATATCTGAGAGTTACTGTCTCTGAAGTCTGGGAAAATCTTTTATTTTTCCCATCCACTCCTCCTAATTAGAAAAAAAACATTACTGAATAATTGCAGTACTGCTATAGCTTTGTATTCCAGAACACTGGTTTTACCTTTCCAAGCATTCTCCCAAGGAAGTAGTAATGTCGGGCATATGAGTCTCCAACCAGCATCTGTGCAGCAGGGTTAGGGTAAAGCAGTCCTTCATTGGTGGTCTTAAAAAACCCCTGGTTAGGGTTAAATCCTGATTTGAGGAGTTCATTCAGAAATTCTCTGAAAATTCCACCACCATCAATACCAGCTTCATCAAGACCGTGGGCATTAAGCAAGTGAACACGAATGCGCTTTTTTAGGTCAGGTTCTGCAGGGAAAGGAAAGAGACAAAATCAAATACAATTTTCTGCTTCAGTTTTGTATGGATAAAAACACATGTAATTACACACACAAACTATATATTAAAACTGAATTAAAACTGACCTAGTGAACAGCAGCAAAACTCCTATTACTGGCTTGAATTTTGGAATATTCAGTTTGCGAAATGCTAACTTTGTAGAAAAGACATTGTCTTTTGTCATCAAAAAAAGAAGTGGGTAGGGGAAGATCCTACAAAATATTAAGAGACCCAGGAATACCTTGAAAACTGTATTTATTTAAAATATTGTAAGTGCAAGATCACACAGATTCACACAAACACGTGATTAACTTCAATGTAGTAAAATTTATAGTACTACATCCCATCATTAAAAGAGCCCTGCATTATTAACAGACACACTGTACCAAGCAAATCCTGTTCAGTCCATATGTATTTCTTGGCAAAGATTACCATATATATGAATTATATAGAAAAATATACAAATTACAATTACTTAGATGAGCACATGGGAAGAAAAACACCATAAAAATAGATTGTAAACAGATCATTTAGACTGCAATAATCAGAAAGAATATGGGTGAGAATTACTTCTGTAAAAACAAGGAAATTTAAGAACTTTCACATCTCAGAGCTGATACACCTACAGCATACCAGTCAAATAAGCAAATATGGAACTATATGGTAAGAACAATAAAGGGTTGTAACAAGCTGATAATGTAACTGCAAACCTACCATTCTCAGGAGAAAGTTTATCATAAGCATCTTCATAAATATAATTTCTTCTGATAGTGACATTAATTCCATCCAAGAATGGCCCATCTCCTTGAACTTCTTGTTTATCAGCATAGATCAGTCTTTGAAAAATCTGTTTAAATTAGTGAAAAGAGCAATCATGTCATTGTGTAGATCTAAATATTCAATGAGAGGTGATTATTCACTACTGTTACTGTCCTTTGAGCTGCCTCTGGCACTCACTTTCAAGTTATTTGTCTTCTCTCTCATTGAGCTGCAGAAACTTAATACAGAGCCATGATCCATGGAAGGGGAGGAGTGGGACAGAAATGTAAAGAACTTTTCTCTGCTAAGATAACATCCTCAGTTCTTTCTACATAAAGGACATCTACAGACATTGTGCCAGTGCTTCCAGTTTGCTTTTCTCTGCTAAGATAACATGCTCAGTTCTTTCTACATAAAGAAGCACATCTACAGACATTGTGCCAGTGCTTCCAGTTTGCTCTCCCTAACTTTCAGAGTTCTGAAATGCAAAGTATTCAAAAACAAATGAAAAAAGTCCCATGAGCATTTCAAACACAAAGAGGTTATTCTGAATGATGGTAAATAATTTTCTGTTGCTGTTTGCAATGGTCAGGAAGATTCTCAGTAATAAGAAAATAGGTACCAGTTCCCCTTGTATAAGCAGTGAACAAATAATTCAGATTAAAATAATGGATACTGCCATGTTTAAAAAAAGAACCAGAGCACCAAAAAAATTCAAAACAATTATGCCAGGTGAAGCACAAATTGAATTTCACACTGTCCATTTTCAAGTCTTCACAACAGGAAACCTGTTCCCCTGAAGAGTAACTGTAGCTCACTGTGTTTCTATGCCAAGATGTAGCATGGGAGGGGGCTGCCTAATGTATAATAATACTGCCTCTATCCATGGTTTACTATATCCTCTCTTGCCATCATTCCCATATTCAATGAATAGTCTAGCATGTTTTCCAAGGGATATAATCTCCCAGTAATGTGTCAGATCATTTTTTAATTAAGGACATTAAGTAAGAGTCTGCAGGGATTTTTAAAAACAACAAATTTACCACGAAAGAGGAAATCTGACCACAGCAAACAAAGGAAGAGTAACGTCTCAAATCTGTTATGTTTATATGTGCAACTGTTGCTAGTGGAGAAGATGCTTTCCGACCAGCAAGATTACAGTACAGACAAAGAAGGAATCTTTCCTAAGGTACACAGCAGGAAAACAAGAGAAAACAGTCCTAAGCTGCAGAAAGAGCACAAGGGATGGACACAAAGAAAAAAGTTCATAATAGGAGTGATGAGGTACTGGAAAAGGTAACATGAGAGTTTGTGAAATCTCCATTTCTGGAGATAGTCAAAACTCATTTGGACAAGCCCTTGTGCATGCTGACCCAAGTCTGAAGTTATTCTTGTGTGAGGAAGAATGTGGACTAGAGTACCTTCAGAGGACTCTTCTGGCCTGAATTTTCTACAGTTTTATAACATCATGACATACAGTCACAGGCACCTTTTTTTTAATATACAGAGCATGAGAATATGCTCACCACCACTCTCCTTCCTGAAGCAGCCCTAGATACAGTTTATTAATTTTTGTTACCCAACTCTAGATGGAAAAAATCACCTGGTATTACATCTCATAGAAAAACTCATTTTGGTACTGACTCTGACTCCCTACACAACCAATGTTCATGGATATGTTAGTCCTGAAAATGAGAACTCTAATGCACAACTGAAGCACCTGCAATGACTTCAGACAAATAGAGAAAAACAAGCAATGCTGATTGAAACACACACCATGGAAGTACCACCACCATAGGCAAGCTGACCAAAATACGGCCCAAGGAGGTGAGAACCAAGGCACTGCTACAAATTGGATTCATTACCTCCCACAGACTTTAGAAAGGTGCATCCCAATGTGCCTTAAGGCTGAAGGGAAAAACACTCCCTGGGGCCAGAAAGCTGAAGAGCCTACCACGGAACTGACTCTGCAATTGCTTGTTAGAGTATCTGTTATCTGGTAAGTCAAGGTAAAAATGGCATGAGGAAGTCAGAAAATGAAAGGGCACATGGAACAACCCCCACAAGGAGCATTGAGCTCACCATATTAAACTAGAGAGCAATGGACAGCAACTGACCAAAAGGAAAAAAAAACAACTTATTATGGTCGTAGTATTTTCTTCCCTTATTGCAACTTGCTCTGTAGAGGCAGTGGGAGACTCCAAGGAATGCTGACTCCCACTATTATACAAAAAGGACTATACACACTTGTTCCAAAACACAGTGTAACAGGATCTTCTCTTTCAGCTATAGAAGTTCAGTTGTAGCTTTATCCTTATCTCCAAGCTCTCATGTTATTGTTACTTCAGTTTTTTGATAAAAACACCCAAAGTTCTATGAATTCCAGTTCCAAAAAAGGCTTTATGAATTCCAAAAACGTAGCATGTATGCATCTCAACATAACTTTATGAATTCCAGAGGTTGGAAGGCAGTCACTAAGTCATGATATAGAGATCCCTGCTTGAGATCAGTTCCTATCATTTCCCTGTAATCCTGGTGTGGGATTGCCATACAGTAATAAGATGTTTTGCTGGAACAACTGTTTCATAGAAGCCTGAGAAAAAACCACACATTTTCTACCAAAGCAGCCTCTGTGTTTTGACAAATAAAGACTGACTTTCCCTATGGAATTACTCTTCATTCCCTTGATGGTGTTTTGAAATGCAACATTTCCAACACAATTTAGGAAGCAGTTTTGAAATAATTGATATTATTGAAAACTAAACCAGTTTTTAAAAAATGTGCTTAACAGAAAAAAAAGCTTTAAGAATATTAATGATGCAAACTGAAACAGGTAATGGAACAATTACATCTATAAAATCTCAAAAACATTCAAAAGCAAATCCAATCAATCAAGTCCAAGAATCTTGCAAGTTTAAAGCTATACACTCCATTAAAGTTCAGCTATTCAGCTATGAATGCAGGAACTTAATCTGTAGGTGTTAATTTCCCGAAATGGAGATCCATAATGTCATTTGGAGCAAACCCCACAGTGCTCCCGAGTCCCCAGCTGTGACCCTGCAGGCCGGTACAACACACCACGGCCGGGGCTGGGCCACCACAAGAGGGTGCAATCATGTAGAGCCATCTCAGCCGGCACTGCAAACTGCTCCCAGCTGGCTCAGAATAAATGTTCCTAACTTTAATGCAAATATTAATAAGGGCAACATAAGCAGGAAGGTAAGAGAGAAGTCCGTAACTTCAGATGTGCAGCTGCTGCATGAGTACTGCAGAAAAAAACAGTGCAGAGTGCCAGCTCCTTCTGCAAGGAATCCATCCAGTTTCTACTCCACCAAGTGCTCTTTTTACACTTACTGAAAACAAAAAATACCAATTGCATATTAAATTAGAAATTAGGTACCTTTACTCTTTCTTCAAAAGGAACTACAAAAGGTAGCTCTGTCAGAATTGCAAGTTGTCGCTCTTCAGATACAGAAAGAGGTGCTGGTTCCAAACCCACTTAAAACAGAAATAATAATTTTAAATATTTTGGAAATAACATTTTTTTAAACAATTTATTTTGTATCAAGTGACTCAATCTACTTCGTATAAAAGATACATATATTAAAATAGTTTATTTACTACATATTCACTCAAAGCCTTACCTTTCTTTAAACATTAGTTGCTGCAGGCAAACTGACATATAAGTAGTGAAAACACACAAAAACAAAATGCATATAAAAATACATACTTTTGTATCTCTATTTTATTCAGAAAAAAAATCTCCTTATTGACATTTTAGCTTAGGAGTTAGGAAAAAATGCATGATAAAAGACAATTAGCAACTGTGATGATTTAGAATTTTCATTGCAGGAATATACAATATTCCTGTTCTCATGCTCAGAATAGTTTACAGTAATCATGCTTTCAACTACATAATCTACTTTCAATCCAGCTGTTTTAGGTAAAAACCTTAAAAATTAAACCAAATCTAAGGAAACCAACAGAAAGATAACACTTATTTCAGTGAGTTTTCTCTCCTAACAGCAGTCACAGTGACCACATTGAATCCCAGTGACTGCAGAAACACCAGAAATTAAAACACCATCAAGAACTTGTATCATGTATTTAAGACAAAAATCTTAGAGAAGAACTGAAGAAGCCACAGCAGAGAAGTTCATTCAGTAGTTCCCAAACTACTGTGCAGCTCCTTTGTACTCACTCACAGGGTAGTTTTAGGAAAAACAACTCAACTTTTGGTGATGCACAGTAGAAATTACAATCCTGCTCTAACTTTAAGGGAGGAAATTCAGTTGGTGAGCACATACCCGACTGTAAATTAATTAAGTGCAGTCAGTACTGCTCACTGACAAGAAACTATGGCCAAAGGTCCACCTGACTTCAGCCTACAGAGGTAACAACACCCACAGTTCCTTGCTTGTTTCATTTTCATGTTTAACAAACACCTCTGAAAAAAGACTCCAGAGTCTGGACAATTCATAGAGTGTATTACAAAATAAGTAAGTGCTTTATATCACTACCATGTCTGCAAGCTTTTGATTACAGCTTCAAGGTTTTTTTCTTTGGCTTCTACCCATGGTGACAAACATCTTCTGCAATCTTCTGCACTGAACACTTCAATGTTCTTTTTTGTTTGTTTTCTATATCCTCAAAGCACTTTAAGTAGGGATATTTTAAGCACCAATTTAATAGGACATGACCCTGAACATCACTAATCTTGATATATCTTCATTGGGAGCAGTTCTCAACTTTGCAAGCCTTTGGAATTTCTGACAAAATGCTGATTTGTGATTATCTTTAGTTTACTTAGTAAACATTTTTAATTAAACTCAATGTATGAAGCCTATTAAGCTAACAGTTAAAATCATTTTAAATGAAAAGTGCATGTACAGCAAAGGTAAACTGCTACATGACTTCGACAGTTCAATTATTTCAGTCAATTAGTCAATTTTATCTGCATTTCTCCATCACAGCTTTTTTCTTTAGAGAGAAATATGGGATGGAGTCATCAATACAGAGGGCATTTAGAACTCACAAGTCTGCCATTTAAGTAAATGAAAAAGCACAAATAAACATGACCATATGTGATTCAGCAGTACTTTCATGCTAATTGGCTTTAACCCATATGGAGTCAAGAGGGATTAAACAAGTCATGTGCACAAGGTTACCTGCTTGTTTTCACACATTCATGTTGACTGCACTTTGTTTTTAGCCTGACTTTGTATGAAAATGAGGTTTACATTAACACATTGTGCCATCTTTCCTCACCATCTTCCCTCCAACACACCTCTTGAGTTCATCAGCTGAACTTCAACTTTGGCAGACAATAGGAGATTCAAAAATACCAAGTACTGTGAAAACTTTCAACAGGCCAGAAAGGAGAAATTCCTTTAGCAACCTCATTACAGGCAGCACCAGGAGAGCAGTGCTCAGTGTGCCAGCTCACCTGGAGCCAGCCAGGAAAAGGAGGGCACAAAGCTGCTCATCACACCAGCACAGCACAGGCATTCCTTATCCCCCAGCTGCCCACACCAGGAGAGACATGAAATGGAGGGAACTGGGGAGGAAAGACCTGGCAGAGTGCTCAGGACAGCATAGGTGTGAGGGCAAGGAGAGCAGGAGAATGTGGATGTGATAAATGTAGAATAGGTTTGGCAGTGGAGAACATCCAGACAGTATAAACAGCTGTGGAGAGTCATGTGGGTCAGTGAAAGAAACAAGGATTGCTGGCATGGAGAAGTGGTGACTTCCAAAGAAAGAAACTAACTGGAAAAATATGTAACCAATAATTCTCAGCAGTACTTGAACTGAGCCAGCTAGTTATTATCTGGCAACTACACTAATAAGGTGATCAAAATAAACTTTTACCATCATAGCTACTCAAATAAAAATTATCACTACAAGTCTTTAGGTTTCAACCCTGGACAAAGCTTTTAATTCTGTACAATCCTACAGCAGCATTCAAAGGCTACAGTCTCTCCATGATCTACTGGATCTGGCTAAACTAACTCAAGCAGATTGCATCATCTTGAAAGAGAGCAAGGACTCAGGTAGATGAATCATTTTGCTGCTTAAAGGCCCCATTTTAAATTCATTATTAATTCTGCACAAGTGCCAATGATTTAATGATTATTTTACCTGATAACGGAGAGGTAAAATTCTAGAATAGTGAAGCTGAAAAGGTATGAAAAGAACATACCTTTTCATATGAGAGAAAGCATATAGAACACCCTAGTGTAACTGTACCTTGATTGCTAAGTTTGTCCCATTCTCTAATCTTTGTCTGCAGGTTTCATAAAATCATGGTATTTTGAGTAATTCAGAGGTTTACATTTCTGCCTTATCTAACTGGACACAGTATTTATAAACAGGAATTAATATTTACCATACAAAGCCTGTTTGTTTACAACAAAAATGTTTCTTTATAGTATACAGAAGAAGCAAAATTTCAATGCTTTACATCTTCTGCAACTGTGTTTATTTTCTGTTCTATGCAACTGCCTTTTATACATATTTATACATTATTTTAAGAACACATCATTTCTCCACCTCATCATTTCCCCTCATCAATGCCAGTGGAAGCCTGGGCAAAGAAATTATTAAATTAAATAACATGACATATAAAGATATACACACATGCATACAAGTACACAATTAAAAAAAATATCTTAACCAAAATTATGAAAGATTGTCTTGCTTTTGGTTAGCAAGATTTTACTAGGAAATACTCAACTGAGTTCTAGAAAAGACAGATTTCTTTATATAAGACAATTTCTTATCTTGACTTAGCAAAGCTGAAATTACATGGGCAGTGTCTTACCATCCAAAGTGGACTGCAGTGGTCCTATTCTCCCCATCCTCCTGACTCTCCAGACGTGTCTGGCTGATGGCACATACAGCTGTGTGACCTTACAAATTAACAGGATTTTACAGTTAAACAGAACTAATTACACATTACAATTTACTGGTGCATACTAAATACAGAGCTGTCACCTGCAGGAGTGTGTCTGAACACCTTAATTCACAGAATGACTGGGTTGGAAAGACCTTCAAGATCATCAAGTCCAACCCAGCCCCAACACCTCAACTAAACCATGGCACAGTGCCACATCCAGTCTTTTTTTTAAACACATCCAGGGATGGTGACTCCACCCCCTCCCCAGGCAGGCCATTCCAGGCCATCCCCCTTTCTGTAAAAATATTTTTCCTAATATCCAGCCTATATTTCCCTTGACACAGCTTGAGACACCTTCATTTCTGCTGATCCCTCCTTACACTTGTGTCTTACACGAGAGCTGCACAATTAACAACACTACAATATATAAATCCCCTGTGTTTAAAAACACCACACAACGTTACATTCAGTTCTGGTATTTAGGACACTAGAGAAGCTGACTTGGAATTTTGAGATATCAAATATTCTGTTTATTTTGTATTGAGCATGTCATGATTCAAAGGAATCTAGTCCACAGCAGGTATTAGCTTTTTCTTTTGCACACACATACACACTTTTTGAGATCAATGTAATTTTTTTCAAAAGCTCTTAAAAATGTAATTTCTAGGTGAGGTAAGTACAGAAAAAGCTGCTGAATTTCCTTTTATTTTGGAAGATAATTTTCCTCACTATAGAGCAATTATTTAATTTAGCATTTTTACTATGGGAAGATGCAACCAAATGCTACCACATTTCCCATTCTCCTCTGCTATAAATCTCTTGTGCTTACACTCTTGTGCTGTAGGGCACGTTCCCCTTTATGGATTGGAAATGTGCTTTAACATACAAGTTTCCTAACAGATACAAGACTCTTACATTAGAGAAAAGCAACATTATTCCAGGTTTTAAACCACACAATCTGTACAACATCAACATCACCAATGTGGTCAGGAATCAAACATTTCACCATTGAAAATTCAGCACCTGTAAGGCTTTGTGGAAAAGGGCATGACTCTTACCTTATCTGCTTTAATGTTTTCTTGTTCTGAGAGCCAGTGATTTGGTGGACAGAAATTTCTCCTTGTATCCCTAGATTTCAACATTTTCACTAAGTTTGTGATGACCTAGGTGTCAAAAACACATACATTCACAGTATACATCTAGCACTGTGAATAAAATTACATAATTCACAAAGCAAAAGCTTTTTAAAAAAAATCAGTAATGTATACAATTGTCACTTATTTTTAACTCACAAAAACTTGCTGTTAGACTTAAATATCTTCAAATGAAATTATGTAATTATGGTTCGCTTGCAAGACATCAAAAAACTTAGCTTATTAAAGTCTCATTCCAAAATCTAGGAACCAGGGCTACACAGGATTTAGTAGTACTGCACACCTGAAGTGCTCGATGACACTTCAAAGAAGCCCAAACAAATCATTATCAACATTACACTACTTATTTAAAGAAAATTACACCAAGTATACACACAATGTATATTAGGTATTTATATAATGTTCTTGTATCTTCCTAGCAAAATTGAGAGGCTGAGAAAAAATGTTTTCATGGTCACTAGAGTAATTTGCAATTTTAGTGTTTTTCCTGGCATTTTCCAAAAAAAAAAAAAAAAAAAAAAAAAAAAAAAAAAAAAGTAAGCAGAGAAGCCAAGCTAACAAATTCTCCACCTCAAGCAGAACTGCCATACTCAGCTGCATGCCTTCTGTCCAAAGCTGAATCAAGTTCACCCACCACTACATAAAACATAATTAAGTGGAATCAATACAATAGTAAATTACTAGGCTAAAAAGACATTACCACTGCTACAATGAAGAGCCATCTGTTTGGCAACTTCAAAGTACAGCACTTGAAAAATGAGTAAGAAAAAAGTGTACACAGACTTTTTCTGAAATAATCTTGCTAAAAGACAGTCTTAATAGACAGGTGTCAAGAGTAACAAAGTTCAAGGCGCCTTCAAAAGGATTCTGTGTCTAGATGCTACACAAAAGAGCTTTTAACATCCAGTTTTTAAGGTAATGTCTTTATTCAAGACAGAACAAAGAAAGCTATTAAGTGAACTGTCTGATTACATGGGAATTTTCATCACCTTTCCCTTATAAAATTCAGTGCAGGTTACATGAATCACTGAAGCTCTCTAGTCCCATTACCACTGTAAGTGACGCAAATGTTTTTAAAAATGAAAATAAATGAAGACCATGAAAATATTGTATTTTACAAGCATCTAAAGAAACCTTAAAGGAAGCTGAATCAGATTAGGTGAAACTGCAGCTTCTCCTGCAGAATGCTTGGGTACTGAGAACACTAACCCAGCTGCCACCCAGCTCAGCATTCCTTTGTAAAAATTTTTTAAGTATGTATTCCATGGGAAGGGAAGGTGTACTACAATAAAAAATATTAAAATAGGGATTTCTTTCCAATAAACTGTCCAGTGCAAGCAACATTTAAAACTAAAATTCAGTAAAATTAAAAACTTGATTTCACAGGTTAAACTCAAGATAGTGAAATAATTCTTTTGTTTAACAAAATCCATTTTCAAATACTTCTAACTTCAGATTTTCTATGGAATCTGTAACAGTTGACTATACTACTCATCATTCTACCAAGCCAAAAATGGGGGACTCTGTTAATGAAGACATTTGCACATATAAATCTTACCAAAGACCTCCAATCTGTTAGCAAATATGTAAGCAGCCTCACTGTTTCCAGATTTACCATTACCTTGCAGAAGTAAAGCCTATTTTTGCATGTATGTATGTATGTGTTTATATAATTTCATTCACTTCATATAGACACACATGTATTTCACTAGACACCAGAGACATGGAAAATACCCAAAAGAATTGAGGAGTTAAAAGAAGAGAAATTAAAAGTACAGATGATAAGGGAAGAATGTGCTTTTTTCCACCAGCAGATTGCAAAAGCTTTAGCAAAGATAACTCCTATATATTTGATAGATATAGTTGACATAGTGCAAAAGAAAGAAAAAGCAGTTTCTACTTGAATTTATAATTAACTACTTTAGCTTTGTTTAATGATTTGGAAGAAGGTAATGCTGCCTGCTTACTGGCAGGAAGCAATTTCAAAGCTGTCAGGAAAGACTCAGCGCTATACACAGGACAGCACTTCTTGATGACATTAACCTTAGCCATGTTCAATTTTTATCTGTAACAACAAAGATGCTTCTGAAGAAGTAAACAAGGGAAGCTTCGGTATTATTTTCTTTTTGGGGTAGAACTGGAGCCTTCCAGATACGCTCAAGATTTATATTTCCAATTCAGCTGATGGAAGACAACCCTGGCTCCTGAACATAGGAAGAGTACACCCAAATTTTGAGAGTTCCACTACAAGTTAAATTTCAGACTGTCACAGTGGGACAAAGTACCTCAGAACTTTACAGCTCTCTGAATGACAGCAAAATATGATAAAATTCACCTGAAACCCACCAACTTACACAAAGATTGATTAAGCATAACAAACTGAAGCAAACTAAAAGAAGGAGGCATGATACGAAGTGCAGGCATAAAAATACCCCTGGTCTGACATCTTTCTCAGAAAAAAATACATATTGGGGGTTTCATTAGTGACCTTTAAATCAGAAGTTTATTTGGCAATTTAAAGACAAGTAATTAAATTACATTGTGCAAACATATATTAGATCAATCTGTGCAAATTACAGATTCAGTGGTGCATTAGGACTGTATTCAATGCAATCAAAACATTATCAGTTACTCTCACTGCTATTAATGCTTATGCTCATAAGTGAAATGTGTTGTAAAATCAGGCAGAATAGGCTGGATAGAGGCTACCTTAGACTTGTAGAATGAATAAGCATTCCTTAATTAGCCCATCAGGTTAAGTGCAAGCCTTAATGGGCCTTTCCTAAAGTCTAGCATGACATCTTTCTCCAAACATGGCCAAGAAGAAAGTTCCATTAGCAATATTAATACAAGCTTAGTTGATCATTTTCATTCAATTAACTTCTTTCAATTAAATAGATAGCTTGACAAAAGCAGTGATAAAAGACCTGAAGGGACAGCTGATGACTCGAACTGAACATTAGTGTGCGAGAGGTCGCCAGTATTAAACAGACTGTAAATCTAGCATTCAATTTGGAAAATGCATTTCTTCTGCTCCCACTTCTTTAATGAGCAATTTTAGCTGACTAGATGTGTTTGCTGCAGAATTTTCATGACAAGTCAAGCACTCTTTTTTTTCAGCAATAGTTATATCAGAGGTTTTTTTCTGCTAACGTTTTCAGCTTCTCTTAACTCATGTCTTAGCCAGGACACCACAGATAAAACCAGCAGAAAAACACTAGTAGATATCCAGAAGGAACATATATTAAATTCAAATTTGCTAAGCCAGATTCACCTCCCCTTTAGTATTCCAGCAAACCCAAAATGAGGAATACCAACAGTTTTTAGGAGAATACCAAAAAAACCAATACAGTGTGGTACCAGTATAGTGAAGTCTCTAATACAGAAGTACCTGAGTAATCATTAGATTTTGTTACAGTTTTGCACCTTTAAAAAGTTATGACAACATGCTTAAGCACCTCGGTTAATGGGAGTCCAAAATAAACCCCATATTTTACACAGTAACTGTTTTATAAACAAGACAAGAAAGAAAATTAAAGAGTTGACAGCAGGAAAAAAAATTGTTACAGTTATCAGAATTTAGTTACTTGAAATTTAGCATTTATGGCAAACAGCAATCTTTCCAAATCCATATTCCTTGTCGCAACAGCAATAAAATTAGAGGAAAAAAAAAAAAAAACTAATTTCATATCTTCAGCAGAAACCTTAAAATTTTTTATTCAGCTATGTTCTGAAAACTGCCACCATTTACCTTGAATAACTGAATCCACCTTTTCTGTTCTGTCTGTATACATTGCTGCATTTCTGTGTTTTTTGTTACTCCAACACTCCGAAACGCTGCAATATATTCCTCACGAACCTCTGGCTTGGTTTCTGGGTAAGCCAACTTTATGATTCCTAGACACGCGTCTCGAAGGCAGCGGGAGAGTATTACAAGCTCTTCTAGTGTAAAAGGCATCATTGATGATTGTCTTTGACCTACAACTACATGAAATACAAGCTTAAGTTTCCTTAAATTACTTTTAAAAACCCTAATTATTTAATTCAACTTTAATAGTCACACACAATCTAGAGAAAAGAAATACCACCCAAAAAGAGAATGAGTAAACATTTAGAAAGGAGATCAAATCCTGGGATTGTGTGTAGTCACAATTATTTTAATTACAATATCCCCTTGATCTCTTTTGTGACCCCTGCTATGTTAAATTTATACATTAAACTACAGGTTCAGCCCAGAAGAAGTTCACTCTCTTCACTAACTCATTAAAAATTATCATGATTAAGAACTTCCATATCAGACCCTGTGTAAAGCTAGGGTTCCCAAGGTGCAGATCATTAATTTTTCTCTCTTTTTTCTAAGTGCAATCACCATAAAAGAGCCAGCTGACAGCTGAGTGCTCAGGGGACCATCAGCAAGCCAGGCCAGAAGATCCTTCCTCCCACATGTCAGCAAATCATTGCCCAGGGAGCTCTCCAGCCTCACACAAAAACATTTTACAAAGCACTGCTATTTAGCATGTTTGAAACTCACCTTCTATTGGGTCACCAAAGAATTCATTATCATGAATAGAAATAAGTGAGTGACTAAACAAAGAACTGAAAAGGTAGAAGAGAGGGATAATTCGGCTGGAGTCCTCTAAAGACATGGGAGAGCCTCTTGAAATCACTTGAAGGAGTGGCACCATAGACCTTAAAACACAAAATGCAGTGTAAAAGAGAAGTTAATAAAACACTCTATGACAGTACTACCTTCAGCATTCTAGTAAAACAATGTGGTAGTAGCTCCAACAGCAATATAACAATGGTATTTTCAGTTAAATAATTACTTCCAATTCCTGGAAAATAAAGTTACTCTTCACGAGTTCTTGTCACTGGTACCTCAGTGTCTCCATGACAAATTAACATGGGCATTAACTAATACAGACTGCAGATACTTTGGAGACACAAAGCAAAGAGAATAATTCTCTGCATGTCAGCACTGAACATGTCTGTAGCGCCCCAGCTCCCAGGAGGTTCTGCCACCACCTATTTCTGGACTAGTCAGAGCATGTGAGATAAAACTCACACACTTGGGATGAACCACCTGGTGCTTCAGTGTTTGCTACACTGATGCTTGTAAGCACACCAAGAACTACCAAATATTAAACCCATTTAAAATAAGTATTTTTTAAATTCTCTTTGATTTCCAAGATTTTGCTCAGTTTTGTGAAATCACAGGAGGTAAGTAACCACACCTCTATCTGTCCCATTCCCTTTTCACTAGATACACTCTATTTTAACAAAGAATCAGATCCAGAAATGGTACAATACATACCCTGTAATCATCCGTGTAGTCATTGAAGATATCAAATACCAAAGATGCCTCAGGAATCTGGCATTGAAGGCTAAACTATAAAGAAGCCTGCAAGAAGAAGTTAAATTAATTGGGTCTTCCAAAATACTCAAAATTCACAAAACTCAATGTTTCTATAACAACTTTTCAGGCAAGCATTTCTCAGAAATTAACAATTTAAGTTTACTTTTTCCACATGAAAGGTCTTATTCTGATCAAATATGGTGAAAGCCCCAAAAACTGACAACTGAGCATATAAAACCTTATACCAAAAATAACAGCTTTCATTATTTCAGCAACAAACCCTACAATATAAACCTACATTTCCAGTCTTTCGCTGAATTCAACATATATTAATTAAGGTAACGTAACACTGAAGTAATGATCTGGGACCTTTTAAATTCTAATACAGAAAGTTACACCAAACTAGTTAATAGATCACTTCTGTGGTTCTTCTGACAGTAACAAACATAGCAATTTTTTGCAGAAGGTAGATTAAAATACCTTCATTTATATCAGAACTATAGCAATGTTACTGATATACTCAGCTTGGCAGAGAGAAACAGAACATCAATGGAACAATACCAGGACTGCTACGTGTACACTAACCCATCTGCAGACTGAAAATGCTTATTGTTTGAAGATTTCTCACTAATTTGTAAAAGTAAATGTGTAATTTCACAAGCCAGTTATACACAGGACTGACTTTAACCACATTACTTCAGACATGACTACACTATCAAAAACTTTTTATAGAAAAGAGAAATAAAAAGCTTCCTCAAACTAAAAAGTCATCCCTAGCATATTTTCTTCCCCTTGTAGGAAACAACAGATGAGACACAATCATTTGAAACAATGTGTTCTAGGAACCAAACTGGATTTCACTGACTAAACAGTCATTTTTTCAGGTATCAAAGAACAATATTCAGGTAATTTTTCTAGATGCTACTTTCCTAGGTCTCCTAATTCCTATTAGGAAGTAAGTAAAACAAATACTGAGATCGACACCCCTCAGTGGCCAATAGTTTTGCAACATGAAAATTCTCTGTGACCAGGCATACAAGAGATGGGAGGCTGGGAAATGCAAGCAGGGAGGGGAAACTACCTGCTGCCAAAAAACAAAGTATTTCTTGTGGACCATGTGGAAATTAAATTTTGCCAGATGGCAAAACGAAAAGAAGCTCACATTTCATTAAAGAAAAAAAAAGTAAAATATCACTAAAGGCTTAAAAACCCTGGAGAATGGTTTAACTCCCACACAAGAACACCCACACACCCTCTCACAAACGCCCCTGGGTCCTGGCTGGCTGGCTGCTCCTCCTGCTGCCTTCCCACAAGCACAGCCTCAGTCCTGAGCCCACAGCTGGTCCCTTCCTCGGGCTCCCAGCTCACCTGCAGCCCCCAGACCCAGCTGCACAGACAGGATCTGGGCTGGGATAAAGCAGCACGAGGCAGGCAGAACTCCTCTCCGAGCACAAAGGATCGTTTCACTGGTACAGGGAGTTCTGGAAACAGACTGGGCCCATGCAGAAAAATGGGAAATGAAACAAGCAGCCTTGAGTTTGCAGTGTGCCTCTTTGAATTTTAAATGCATAGATCACTACATTTAAAAAGAGTTGGGAGCTTCACTTACTTCAAAGAAATTGCACATTGGGAACATTACCAAGTCCAAGTCAAATTTGAAGCAACTGCAGCTAATGCCAGTTTAAGATATGCTTTGCAGTTACATTAATTCAACTTTAACTATGTGGGGATTTTTTGAAAAAAAATCAACCTGAATTTGATACATGAGAATTCTATTTCCTTCTAAAGTCACATTATTTTGACATTTGACAAAAATTATGCATTAACATGTAAGGACAGCCTTATCATACCTAGCTAATTTAGAATAAAGATTTGTATTTTAATGTTTAAATATCTGAATGACAGGTCAGATGTCTTGGTTTCCGAAATGAGAGATTTCCTAGGTGACCTTCAGTTTTCAGCCTCATATTTAAAATGAAAAGTAATTTGGCACCTTGCCTTCAAGTCTCATGCAGCTTCCAAGTAAAAACTTGTTAATTTCACAATAATCCCTGGAAATTATTTAACAGTTTGAGCAGAAATGAACAAACATTATGGACAATGAACCTATCATAATGTAATTCATTTTTTCATTCTAGCAATATTCAGCAGTAATGAAGGGGAAAAAAGGACAAACCTTAAGAGCTTATAATAATAACCTCTGCCTAAGTTTTAGCCGTTTTTATTCCATATCCGTGATTCAGGCAGTCAATTGCAGCAACTGCTCTGTTTCATGGCTCAAATCCAGAAATGCTGAATTAATTCAACTTTCACATTTCCCTTTCCTGAAAATCTGGTTAAGTACAAAAATGTACATTAGGTAGAAGATGGCACCAACAGCCTGTTTCATTAGTGTGAAATAACTGTAAATACAAAGCAAATGAATTCATCTGTTCCAAAGCTTCCATTCTAAAGATTCTGTGCTGTGACCAGAAAACAAACACAGAACTGGAAACTGAACACAGAACAGTGAATTGGGCCATGTGTCAAAAGAGATTTGCATCGCTAGATTCACCTGAAATTTAATCCATTGCAAAAGTAAAAATGGCAGAAAAATCCAGCTACCTTCCCACTCCAAGTACAGAAACTGACAACTAGAACCAAAAAATACAAAAAAAAAACCCACCACAAAATGAAAGGATGACTTTGGAAAGTTGTAGCTACACAAAATCAGCTGTAATAAAGTTCCAAAATTCTTGGTTTCACACTGACAAAAAAAAAAAAGCACTGAGAAAAGCAAAAAACAGCCAAGTAAAAAAAAACTTGGAGAATCAAAATAGGTCAAAATCTATCTTATCTGATCTTTTTCCTTGGCAGATAAAAGATATTCATTGGCTTAAAAACAGCCTTTCCAGGTAGAGCTACATTAAAATGACACCGTGCAAAAATTCCTGATAAACTACAGAAGAATACAGGGATGGCTTATATATCCCTGAGGAAAGAGCCTTAGGAATCCATAAAGTTTAGAGATCAGCTAACATAAAGCCTGAGTGTCCATACAGTCTTGACCACTTTTTCCTTTAAAGAAAAAAAAAAAAAAACCCACACAAGAAGAACTAGAAATAAAAAATTACAGACATTTTGATTTCTATGTAAACTTTTGTAAAATTTAACTCAGGGGTTTCATTTTCAATATTTGCACTATTCTAAAAAAAAAAAAAAAAAAAAAAAAAAAAAAAAAAAAAAAAAAAAAAAAAAAAAAAAAAAAAAAAAAAAAAAACACAAGCAGCTAAAGTTTAAATTTCTCATATCTGGAGGTTTTGCATTTTCTTGAAAATCTCACTGAATGCCACAACTTCTTTATTATGAGATCATTATACATGCTTTATGTAATTGATTCATTAATAGATTTTCTGTAAAGCCCAATATTAAGATTCAGCACAGTCGTTTGGAAGAAAGAAACACTTCTCTGCTACCAGAAAGGATAAACCTTTTTCAAGTGCAAAAACACACACTGCCTCATCCTCAGGCTGTGATAGAGTTAAATTCACTTCAGTGATTCCTGTTAAGTATCAATTTTAATCATACCAAATTAAATTATCTCTTCCCAAAAGTAAGTACATAACGATCATTTATTTAGAACCTTGTTTCTCTCTCTAGGTATCTAATTGTCCACAAAGGCCACATGATTTATGTCTACTTGCCAGATTAGCATTTTGGGCACCTCTGGTTTAAAAAAAGAAGTGTCAAATTCCTCCTGTGCAATGGGACAGATTAAATGACCCATTAAGCTTAATTTAGCTGAGGCACCACTACAAGTTAATTAGTTAAAGGCAAGATTTTCAGTCTAGGTCATAAATTGGGCTCAGTTTCCCACTGAGACCATTTAAGTTAATGAAGAGAATACAGCAGAATGAGAGGAGCTCATACAGCCTGCGACAGGTCACAGATTCTGCCACTGCAGAGGTGTCACAGGTATGAGACAGCAGCACAGCCATTGGTAAATGAACTCTCCTGATCTTTAGGCTGCTTTATGCTTCTACCTCTGTTTGTATTGGACCACAAACATAAAGCAAAGCTTAAAAAAAGAAGAATAAAACTGCATATGCAACAATTTTGGCTTTAAGAAAAACACAGCAGTGTCAGAACGCCGCCTGAAGAATGACCCCAAGAGCCCCATGTAAAGCCTGGGTATCTCAGCACACACATGAGGACAGGCTGCCCACACCACACCAGAGTGACATTTGTGACATTTGCTAAACAATGCTGACATACAGGCCAAGATGAGCAGCTGCAGCAATTAAGCAGCAGTGAGGAACAGGGACTGGGCAGCTGTTAACCCAAAGTGAGCAAACTCAGGGGCACTGGTCAGATGCTGACAGCGACTGACATCCCAGCACAGCTTCCAGCACCGTGGAACACCCAGCTGAAATAAAGATCAAGTCTAAGGTAGTAACTCACACCCCAAAATATCTCACAGAAACAAAACTGACTTATTTAAAGTATCGCTTTGATGAAAAAGTCTTGTAAGTCTCTCTATAAGAGCTACAGTCCAAGACACAAGTTCACTTTTTTTTTTAGTAACTTCCTAATAATATGTATCAACTTCACAGTGAAAACATTAAAGCCCCATCCTTTTTGAAAACGAGCAGAACTCCCAATGGCTCCTATACAATCAGGATTTTATTTTACACCTCTAATCCTGGTTACTGAACACAGGCTACAGGTTTTTCTGTATCTTGTATTTGTATTTTTTACAGGTTTTTCTTGTATTGTGACCTTCCTTAATTTGGCTTGATTGCATATTTCCAGAATTATTTCAGAATTCATCAAAATTCCTAATAACTAACCTAAAGCAATGTGTTTTTGCAGTTATCCAGTTCTGGATCCCACCACCCTGTCTACAGCATCAGAAAATAACTTTACAGGCCTGCTCCTTTCCAAACTACATCACACTTGTGGGCATCCTGTTTTGGTCTTGGTCTCTGTTACAAAACCAAGGAAAACACTGAGTTGATTCAGCAACACCCATGTTCCTAACATCACACAATATCACCATCATCAGTCAAATTATAAAAGTACTGAGAAGCCTCAAGAAAAAAAAAAAAAAGCATTCAGCTTTAACAGAGTGATGCAAGTCTATATTCTCAAATTCTCATTTTTGTCCAAGAAGGAAAAAAACCTCACAACTACTAGAACAATACTGAGATATTTGTCATTTGCTCCCTTCTAAAGCCTGTGTTGATCTCAGCCCAATTATCTTGTTATTGAAAAATTATTTTCAATTATTACTGTATTTATCCTCACATTTTTCAGATTTGAAGTTTCTGTTTTTATTGTTATTTTATATCACAGATGTATTTACTATTAAATAAACTAAGTCTTTTTAACAACTCCTATTTTAAAACATTTGACTCAGTATGATTTCAAACATGAAATAAAAAAGCACTATTAAGCTCTTAGAATATATTAAAAATAATTTGAGATAAATTATTTTTGCTTAATTATTTCTACATGGTTTCATTAAGTAGATATACTTCACTCTGGATATTAAGTAATTTAAGAGTTTCAAAGCAAGTGTAGCATCTTTCAAAAGACTATAATTAAATTTGATAAAATTATTTGGGCATTAAAAAAAAAATCACCAGACAAAAAAAGTGAAACTTAATGACAAAATGTCTTTTAATTATATTTTTAAATTCCACAAATAAGCATCATCTGTCCTTCAAAAAGCATTCACAAATTATGTTTAGAACAGCTGGTGGTAACCCAGACCAGGTTTAAAATGCACTGAGAATAGGACAAAAGACTGACAGCTGCTGAAATGATGATCCCTGGCAAACTCAGCATTTACAGCTGACTTCTAAGTCAGAACTAGTAATTAAATGTCTACTTTAATTTACTAAATATCTGTATAAATTCATTTTGACCACACAAATAATTGCACTAGTATCATTGACTGAAATCTTAGTATCTACTATTCATTTCTAAAATTCAGCTATTCAAAAGTCACAATTTGTAAATTATTTTCTACTAGAAGATGCTGAGTAGAACTTTCATAACTCCTGAATTTATCCAATGTGTAAATAGCTTGTTATCACAAATAACTGCACAGCCCCAATAGAGCTCCTCAGAGGAAATAGATGCCATACTCACACAATTAAAGTCCGGTGACTTCTTTATTCATTAAACACCCTTTTCCACACAGTTCACCAGCAAGCCTCCAGTCAAAGCAGTGATGCATTTAAGCTCAGTAATTACTATCCAAGGCAATGTACTACTTGCAACAATAAAGCTGGCACACTAATTCAGCTGCTGCTATGATCTTCAGGTCTCACATCCTGCTCTAATGCAATTAGTCTACAAAGAACTAATTACCCTAATCGAGCAATCACAGTTTCACTGACATCTTACTTCCTCTAGCAGCTATAAACACCATTGGGCTAAGATAGCACCTAATTAGTTTTCTGTATCACTGTTTACAATGCAGTTTGAATTATGTTTACAACATTCCCTGAATACTTACTTTACTACCAGCAACTACACAGGTACTCAAAACTACTTGCACAAGAAGAGTGTTAATACTTATAGGTCTCAGTCTGACAATAAAAAGGTCAAAAATCTTCTCCCATTGTTCTGACATTTGTGGTTTGCAATCTTTCTAAAAGAATACTGCACAAATGAACATGTCCTTTATTTTCATCTCAGATGCCAAACCCTCCCCAAACAACAGCAATTCTCAATAGTTAGCAATAACTTTAGCTTGTAGCAAAAGATTTTGGCATATATTAAAGAAGGGTGTGAATGACTTGGTTTCAGTGCTCAGCTAGCCAGACAGACTGGGGAATTCACAGCACTGAATGTTTTAGAAACAAGGTAGTCCAATTTCTACTAGAATGACACTCACCACTGCCTCAGAGCAAGGGAATAGATAAAATGCTCACAAGAATCTTGAGAGGGCATAGTGACCAGCAAGAAAAGTAAGAAACAAAGAATCCACTCTTTGGTTTGCCTCTAATTACTGTTTAAATTCTGAAATACTAATTTATTTTGGCTAGTTGTAAAAGAAAACACAGAAAAAACTCCACAAGGCATTTAAAGCAAGTCTATCTAAGAAAACTAATTTTAGATGTACTACATCTCAAGATGACTATTATTTCTACTTACCTGACTTTTGGCACCATCATTCGGTGTTGTACCATCAGTGTGTGGCAAATTGATGCCATCAAGGTAAAGACCTCTTCACTGGCTGAATCTCTCCAAACCATATTCAGTAGAGTGTTTGTCTGCTGCTTTGTGTCCAATTTCTTGAGGCACTCCTCAGTTATGTACTGGACTGATATTCTCCCATCACCCTACAAACACATCGAAGGAAAGTTTACTTTTAATTATTTTTAATGATACCTTCTTTTCTATTAAAAAATACTTATAAATTTAAGTAGAATGACGTTTTCTTGTACAATAAATAAAACAGAAGCATAAATGTATATCCAAGTTTTAAAGAAATCAGATCCAAAAGCCAACTTAAAGCCCCAGGCAGGTAAGTGTTGAGCTTTGGTGTCCATCCTTCACTGAGGCCAGCAGAACTGCCTTTACTATAAGCATACTCTGCAACACTTGCATACAATTAGGCACAATCTCTAACTGGCATGAAATGTGTGAATAATTATCTCTCCTCCACTGACATCAGACAGCATTGGACATAAAACCCAGAAATGGATGTTGCCTCTAAATTCCTTCACAAGGAGTATTTTCACATTCACAATTCTTGGGTTAACAAATGACAACAAAGTTCAGGGTGTTCAGTGCATGTCTGGGTAGTACCAGCAGTGTGTGAAGAGGAATGCTTCTCTTGGCATGCAACTGAGTCCACCTTAACTTTTTCCTAATTTCCTATCTTTATCTTGCCCCAGCTGAGCAAAGCTGTCAGGCTCATTGCAAGTTATACATTCTTAAGAAAGAGGGGCTCCCCACCCACTCACCTTTTTTTTTTTTTTTTTTTTTTTTGGTAAGACAGGCATGCATGAAAATACAGAATATGTACAAAAAAATCACAGGAGAAATACATGAAAAAAACATATTGCAATAAAAAGTATTAGTTATATAAAGCCTCCTCGGAGCAGATTTTGTTTTTAAATTTATGAATTAGTGTAAGTTATCTGTGAACAGAAATTACTGCTTTGTTTTTACCTAATCACTGATCTCTAGGCCACAAGCAGAATCTGCCAATATTTACATTGCACACAGTGTATGTGCCTGGCAAAGAAAGTATTTTATTCACACTACACTGGTAAAGATTTTGGTGTGACAGCAACACACAGCATCTAAAAACACTCAAGTAAAAAAATGCTGCAAGTACTCCCTTGGCAGCATGGCTCTTCCTAAGTCTGTTTAATAGACTTTAAACATGGTGAAATTTCCCACTTTCTAGAAGGAAAGCATGCACACTAAGTCCTTTGAATGGCTGTGTCTTCTGAAAGATTACATAAAGACCAGTAAGCAACTGCTGAGTTTCCATCTGTCCAACTTTGGTTAGTCAAAGCCTTGATATGAGTAGTAGGAGGCTGAAGTCAGCATGGATTTATTCTAAGTTTGAACTATAGAGAAGAAGTTCTATTTATAACAGTGTCTCTATGTATTATTACAGAAAGCAGGAGCTGGATTCCCTTTGAGGGCTTTTGAGTTAATGGGCATATACTGACCTATTCTACCAGATAAAGACTGTAGTTATTTCTGTGAGAAAGAAAATGAAAACACAAAGTTGGAGTATGAGTGTATTTCATGATACCTCTGCATCATTGTGGACATACAGAATACAGAGTAAGAAAATCTCTGTAAAATACAGATGTAGAAATGCAATTTTAGGCCTTTTTTAAATAAAAACTTTGTACTTTCACAGACATGCTATCTCTAGTTTTGGATCTATTATTACAGTAAGGAGTTTGTCTTAATGTAAACAATCAGTTCCACTTGCTTGCAGGGAACAGTCATCAATTTTTAAGAGGTAAACAGGGCTCCCTTCTACACGTATAGAAAAATACTGGACTTAGAGTGATCATGTTTTTGCCTATTTCTGCTGCTACAGCACAAATCCATTCACAGAAATTCTTCACTTCTTACAGGTGTAGTTGTCATTTTACTGATCTCTTCATCCTCATCTTCAGAATCACTGTTTGCGTCTTGACAATTTGTACCAGCAGCAGACACAGGCAGCTGAGAGAGAAAAGTTTGGAGTACCCTCAAATACACAAGAAGTCCTTCCTCTGAAAGGGATCCTAGAGCACATACAGAGAAACAAAAGATCATCAGTGAGATCACAATGTGCTATAAAAAATATTTTACCAGAAATACCTGACCAGAACAAGTTATGCCAAATCTTATCAAATTAGTGCATTTTTATAATAAAAAGGGTAAGAACAGGTAACAGAACAGATCTCTCCAACACTTTTATCCACAAACTGTCCTTTTTACTTGGCCATGAACCATGTTGAGGAAATACATAACATATTAATTCCAACAGGAAGAAACCAATGAAGTGTCTACTCAGCTTGCTCACCCAAATATGTTTCTCCAACTGTTAACACAAAGTAGAAAAGCCATGGGGCTTGATCACTTCTTCTTGAACATCCACCTTCTGCTAATAATAGTGCATTCAGAAAGAGTTCATAAGGGAAAATGGTCTGCACATCAGCAAGCGCTGGAATGATGAAATGGAATATCTGATCTGTAAAAGGTGCTGCCAGAAACTCCTCTGTGAAGGCTGCAAAAATCTGCTGCCTGAAAGGAAGAAAAATTGTTGCTATAGAAAATATAGGCAAAATTTCCCACAATTATACCAATGGACTAACAGATCGTTTTGCAAGTATGAACACATCCATCAAGAGGACTGCAAAGATGTGCCCTATTAATTCCATCCTAGTACATCAGATTTCTCAAAAATTAACTTCTTACACTAAATCCTCTTTCTAATGATCTTATATGCAATTTTATCCTTTAAACTTTTCATGAGCTGGGAGAAAACTTCTGAAATTAAATACATTTTTTATAATATTGGGAAAAAAATACATCTAAAAAACCCTTTCTACACAAAATCCTATTGGAACAAAAACACTACTGCATGTGATACAACCTGAATTTATGTTCCCTCTGTCTACATACCTGACTCATTCTGCTTGTAAGCTGCCTTAGTAATTTCTCTCCATAAACCTCAGCTTATCTGTCACAAAGTTCTTTTGAACTCTAAAATTCTTTTCATCTACCCCTAGCTACATCTCTGCTCTCATCTAAATTTTCCACACCCTCATTCCTGTGTACTGATATCTGTTATTCTCTGTGCTCTGTTTATTGCAGCAGTCAACATTTTATTGCCTTTTTCTTAAAAACACCTGAAACTACATTGTTTCAGTGATGTACAGTGTTACCAAAAATCATTACTGTACAAATAAATCAACAAACTGCACTGAAAGAATGGCTGGACACTAGACAACAACAAACTGCACCTCTGACTATAGCAAATGAGTACATAAATGTTTCATATTATCTTTATTTACCTTGCACCTTCTGGACAGGAGCTATATGTAAAGTGCAATGGCTTCAGAACATTCTCCAGAAGTATTTTTGCAATAGGGACACGAGAAACATCAGAATACTCAATACTGGAGGGAAGCTTATTGTTAATTAACAAATAAAGCGACTTGTAGTAGCCTGCAAATAAAAAAAAATCCCTTTTAAACACAGCATTTTTCTTCTTTTCCATAAAAAACAATACAAATGAAGTAGAAAAATACTATCTAATTCATTACATGAAGCTTGACTTAGGAAGACATTTTACAATAGTCCAAGCCACATTCACATAATTAACAGGCTATATCAGCAATCTCTTTGGAAACATCACATTATAAAATCATTCATAGATAACCATATTCAGAGTCAGTTTGATTTTGAAAGATCAATCAGCTCTTGCTAATGAAGTGAATACTTTGATTTTTAAAATAACGATTTATGACAAAGACGTTCTCTTCTCCTTTGACTGACTCTAGTCGTGCTGTCCTTTCACTCTTCCAGAAATGAAAAATTTTCTACTCTATTCCAAAACATGACTGCACCATACAGGCAAGAGGCCTACTGGCAAAATGTCCCAATTCTGTGACCACCCTGCCTTAGCAGGCTGAAGAATACAATCACTATTTCCAGAGCAGGGCTCTCTCAGACAGTAATAAAATGCATTGTCACCCATGCCATAAAAACATGTATAGAGAGTAATTTATTTTTGTCTCACTGAAGTACAAATGGAACCACGTGACTTCATTCTTCTTAAACCAACATCCTTCATGCTCAATGAACTCCCAAACTAAGACACAAGTTCCACAATTACAGGAACACTGTAAATGCATAAACAGTGTCACATCAATGAGAGTCCAGCCTAAGAACCCTTCTCAGGGACCACCTAACTTGTCACAGTGGAAGTCCCCATAAAGGAATGACTTAGCAATGCTGACCAGACATACACGGAAGGCAAATTTTATCCAAAAACATACACTAATGAAAACTGGTAACAGATTCTTTACAAGTTCAGCATCAAAACTTATTAGGAGACAGAACACTTGCAGTTGCACAAAACCACTTTTTTTTTGTTTTCACTGTAAGTAATCAGAAAGCTAAATTAGTAAAAAAAACTATGATTCTATAATCTCAAACATTCATATATAAGTTGTGAGGACACAATATTATACTAAAAGAATAAATACATGCATATTTATTCTACAAAAACCAACGTGACAAACAAAGTTTCTGTTATACCAAGGCAAGCAAAATAAATGTGCTACATTAAGAGTAATTTTTTTCCTCATAGTGACTCCAACACACGGTCCTTAGTGACAGGATTAAGTACTCAAGTCCACTGAATGTACTGTAAATATTATATAGAAATATTCCAATAACCAATGATTGGAAGATGCTCTTTCTGCATTTTATATCAAAGAGGCTGGATCCAAGAGATTTATTTAAAAATGTTTTTGTCTTTCCTCACAATCAACAAGTTTTGCAAACTCAAGCCACCATATCAAAAACGCAAAATCATTTATTTTGGACATTCCCAGAGTAATAAAGTTTCTTTGCTACTAAACATCATTTTAGTGCTAACTATCCAATTCATTAACTTTTGGTATGTTTGCACAGGTGTCACTGACTGCAGTTAAGCAAACAGTTTTGCTGATGATGGTAGGAGACAAATAAAAGCCAGGCCACCACCTCTGCTGAGGTGTCTCAGTGCTGGCAGGATGAAAAACTAATGCCAATCTAGAATAATAATGAATATTAATATTTACAGAAAACAATATTGCAACAAATTGACCAACTTTTACACAACTGAAGCTTAGATGTGCCACAGTGTGTGTGTCCATGTGAGGGTATTAAACATCTACCAGAATAAAACTTGTGTTAGGCAATATCCACCTAATCTCAAAAGCTGTGCTATAGGTCTATATAAATAACTTAGTAGAATATTCAATTTATAAAGAGAATTTCCAAAGAAATCAAGCAGCAATTTCTCAAGCCACAACCTCATTACAAGAACAATATCCGCCTAATGCATAGGTTAGTGTATGCAGCACTTTACTCTTCATGTCTGTGGTAAAGACAAAAATTTTATTAAACAGTATGGGCTTCAGGTGTTCAATTTTTGATTTATTTCCCAGAACTTCTGGTTCCTAGCTACTCACCTTTTTGAACCATGTAGTGCAAAATTTGTTCAATTAATGATGTCACATAGCTGACATCTTGTAAAACAGGCAAATACGTATTCTCAGATGAAAATACCTCAAGCATTCTCATAGGAAGTGCAACATTCAGACTGTCATCATTGCAATTTTGCAGTAGCCTATAAATGAAATTAAAATTATTTAACAAGATATTTCTCATATTTCACCACACAATCACCTTAAAGTAACGTTTTTCTATCTACTTGGTTTCCAGGTGCTCTCAGTGGTTTAGCTACCACTATTTATAATAATAACTCCTGATTTACAGGTAGCTATGAATATGGCATTTTACCTTTAAATCCTACTAAATTCTTGCTCTGAGTGATTTGAGAATTTGGAGGTCTACTGCATAAACTAGAAGAGAAGCAAAGAATAATACATGTTTTATCAACATGTACCACTAACCACATTACAAATGAAGCTATGAAAGCCCCAGAGCAACACAATCTGGGAACAGGTGTTAGGGAACATCATGTGCATAACTAACACAATATGTCTTTGATTACAGACTGAAATATTACAAATACAACCATTCCCACCCTTTTAACAAGTTGCTTATGTAACAGCTACCAGTAGCCACAGAAATTTGGATGATTAAGAGCCTATTGAGAATTCCAAGTATTTTTTAGTGAGAGATGTATATGGACTGATTTGTCCTAACAATGTGCCTTCTTCCTTATCCATATTAAGAGCTGCATTTACAAAAACACAATTTCTGCTGTAGTGAAAATGTACAATTCCATGCAGTGGCACCACATCTGTGTCCCACTGCACACGGATTTAAAAGCCCACCACCCAAGTCTCCTTTAGAATCTGGTATCTCTGTTTCTCATGCACACAGTTTACACACTTATAAGAACACAAACTTCAGTGATGTAAATGAAACAATTTTCATAAACCAAGTATTTTAAAGCTCTGCAGAGTGTAACTAGCTCCTATTATTGATAAGAACAAATATATTCTTTTCTAATAGTAGAATAACAACAGCTGCCAGATATTCAAGTCACCTTAACAGATTCACCTTCCTGTGATCCTCCCACTACAAATAATAAATTAAATGCTGAAGACAGTAGTGTACTAGCTCAATATGCCTTCAGTTCAAAATAAAGTGTGAGGAAAGCCAGATTCAATTATATTAGTTTTGAAACAACATCTACCCAAAGTGTATCCTTGGAACATCAGTCTACTTCAGACAATAACATCTAAACACTATCAGTTCCCAAGAAAACCTGGTTTCCACAAATATTGTCAATGATATCACTATACAGTTGAGAACATACTCAGGCCTATCCCAGCAGAGCATCCCATAAGCACATGTTGAACTTCAAAGTCAAGAGAGCTTAAGAACATCTGACTGTTCTACATAGGAACAGGTATCCTATACCATGGCGGATACATATTTAATATAAACAGTCCTCTACATAAAATTAATGTATATTTAATACTTCACTTACTACAAAAAGAAACAAACAAGTGCCCAACATAATTTCTGAACACTTTTTACATAGTGGCACACAGAAAAAAAAGAAATTACCTGCAACACAGCCCCAACAGTCTTTTTATTTGGAATAAGCAAGTAAGTCTGTCTGGACCATCCAATTGCTTAACAAACTGAGAACTCTGTTTAATTAAATTCTGACACATCCATACCTGCAACAAGATATGCACAAGTTTACAGTTTATAATGACAAGTTCTATCACCTATGACAATTCAGACAGTGATATTTCAATGCTGTTATGGGTACCTTTGGAGGACTTACAAAACACAAACTCAGACTGAATCATGCTCAGCTAAGAAAAAAAAAAAATTGTCACTCCTTATAAACTCCACAACCACTAAGTACTAAACTTTCAAAGTTAAAACTTAGTTAAACCATCTGGTAATTTTTTTCTTTTTAAACAGCCATAATTCTTTAATGTCCATTTTTAACAGCCACTACAAATCACACTTAGTCATACATTTGGGAATGAGGAAGGCAGTGACCTTGCAACTGATACGCCAACAACACTGAACAGTGAGAAAAAAACCACCACCCAAACATCTTGGGAATGACCATGGGGCTAAGTAGAAATACTGTCTAAAAATTAAAATACTAATAGAAGTATAGTATTTTTTAAAACTGACTGTGAATAATACACACAGGATTTTTCAAGGTTTCATTTCACACACTATGTATGTGTGTGAGCACACACACTCGTAAAATCTAATTTTAAGTCATTGGGACTAAATGAAAAACAGCAGAGTGCAGTGAAAAGTGCACTCTGAAGTAAAACACTACTTTAAAAGTGCATGAAGTGCAAGTACTACAGATCAAAGTATGTAAAAGCACTCACCAAACGCTTTGAATCCTCATTCTGTCTGTAGAAAAAGAGTAACTGGCGAACTAAGAGAGTCAAATTCGCTCCATTAGCAGTGGAAAAGGCTCCTCCAGACTGAGCCAAATTAGCACAGCGATCAAATTCACTTCTTTGGATAGAGTACTTAAAAACAAAACATGCATCAATACATCAGTAATGGTTCTGATTTAAAACAGAGCAAAATCTCAGCCTCCCATCCCGCGAGGCTGCAAAGCAGTAAAACAGATACAACACATATTTGTTCAGAGACCAAAACATACACATCATATAGCTGAAGTCATAACTCCATTCTGTAACTCAGAAAGCACAATTGCAACAAATCTGTTGCTTACCAAGCATTATCACATCAAATATTTTAGTCCAGTTTACTCAAATTAACAAATTTAAACAAAACTCTTTCTTAGGAGAATCTATCCAACAGCAACCTAAACCAACTTTTTGACTCAAACTACCACCTTACCCATACTGTAAAAAAAAATTAAAAGCTCTACTGGTGTGTGGAAGTTCTTAATACCTAATGCTTTTTATCCAATTTATCAGCTAAAAAAACATTGCAGGGTCCCACTCAGGTCCACTGACATCCATGCTTTCCAGGATATACATCTCTTTAAAATATTCAGTTTGAAATGAAAAATGCCAAGAGGGGAAAAAAGAACTTGCTCTTTCTCAAATACTCAAAACGACTTTTCAATTAAATTATTTATTACAAGAAAGTCTCATTTTCAGCAAAATTATTTAGCATCTTTCTTATTAAATAATCAGGTACTAACCTGATGTTTTCTGTCTCTGTACCCTCTTACAAATGACTGGATTATTATTGCATTTTTCAGCCTCCGCCTTTCTTCCTGTAAAACAAAGCAAGAAAACTGCAATCAACACCATAGGACTGACTAATTTCTACCATTTTATCAAATACAGTTGTATTCAATATGACTTTTTAATGAAAATTAAGCAGTAATCATTAGTCAAATATATTATTTTGATGTTTCTATCTAATACACATAAATCTGTGAGAATGTTTGTTTTTAAATGCAAAATTACATTAAATATAGCAAAAGAATATTTAATACTTAGTAAGGATGTAATACTACAGAAATCAACATGAATATTTTATTACTTTGCATCACTTTATTCTGAATGCATTTTATTAGACAAAGTCTTAACACTATGTTGCAAAATGTTGAAAGAGTCATCAAATTCAATTACATCATTCCTCTTTCTGCACAGAGCAGCAAACACTGACAACCCACTTATTTGTTTTCACTCAAATAATATAAAAGCATTATGATGCTGGCACCATTTAGATGTGGGGAAAACAATAAAAAAATTCTTTGGAGACAGTACCTCTGTCAAAAGGAAAATGAGGCTTAAAGCTCATTGTGGCCCAGACTTGAAATATAGAAATTAATAAAAAATCTTAAGTCTCTTTTTCAAACCAGACATATCCAGTGAATCCTTTTATGACATCTTCCTCAGAAGGGGGAAAGAATAGCAAAAGTCACCCTTTACAATGGCTCTGAGGAACTGAAAGCCAGCTTGCTTGAGATGCCATGGAAAGAGCTCTTGGAAGGCTCCCTGACAACACCCTGGGCATATCCCATTACAATAAATATCTATGGGAAGTGGCTACTGTAATTATATTTCTAATAATGTCCATACAGTTTCTTAGGGAATAAAAGAGGTGAAATAAAGAGTTGCTCATGAACCTAGAGCTACAAAGCAGTGGCTAATGGAAAAGTACAAGGATCAAGAAGCCTGCTTTAAAAACAGAAATTTTAAACTAATCAATCCTTAAATTATATTGAATCTATAATTCTGAGAGTCACCAGGCAAAACAGCACACCAAGAAGTTTTCATAAATTTCATTAAAACACTTCCGGAAAGTTCACATAAAATTTCAAGTCCGGAATGCTTGATTTCCAATTTATTGTCCTATAAAGACACATCCAACTTAAAAGCACCACCTGAACTGACCAGAAAGAACACCAGACAAAATCACTATTCAAGGCCTATTTTACTTTTCTTGGAAAACCCTGGTTCTTAAAGCAACTTATCTGAATAAGCAGATTCTTGAAGATTCTGCCTCTAAATTATGGACCAAAATCTAAATTTTGATAGGCCAAAGGGTATTTCTCTCTCCAAAATATTGACAGCAAAAGTGTAATGAGGAGAGAGCTTCAGAGAGGTGGTGCCTCTTCGTAACCATAATGTAAGGCTCAACTAAAACACAGATACACAGATAACCTCTCCTTCTCCCTAGGTACTGGTTTTATCTCAGAACACATAATTGTCAATTAGAGACTCCTAACTGCACAGATTTTAAGTCTGAGGTCACTGCTAAGATTCTGCTACAGGCAGTTTTTAAAAGCCATAGCTGATTCTATTCTCAGAGGAGTCATTCATTTAGTGAAAATGTGCTCCATGCCACAGCAAATCACTGCGTGCACATGTGTACCTGCACTGAGTGTGTGGCTCTGCATCAGCTTTGCACAGGACAGAGCCAAGCAACTGAATGGGTTTATGGACCCCAAAGAAGAATTTTTACATGTGTTGCTAAAGACTCACTGACCATAAAGCTGATTCATAACACGGAATTCTGAACTAATGGGTGAAATCCTGGTACTTTCATACTTGAATTTAGTCCGTAACTACAGACCCATGTTGGAGAGAAAAAAAGCACTAACTGTGAACAGAAACTGCAGAACTTGAGCTTAATCTACACAAAGTCAAACACACCTTTATGGGCCAAAGAGTTGTTTTCTTCATGAGCATGAAAGTTGCACAGTTATATTTTTTAATCAGTATTTAACATCAATTTTTTTTTTTTACTTATATGGGAGGGGTGGGGGAAAATGACAAAATTAACATACTGACTCAAATGCCATCCTACTAAATTGTGGGTTCTTCATTTCAGTGTCTATTCCTCCTTTGCATTATTCCAGCCTCAATTTTCTAGAGCAGTAAGCTCTCATCATAAGCCAGTATTAAGGCTGCTTAAAGCCTCACAACTCAGCTTCTCACTGGTCCTTCATTATCAGGTGATTTCAAAGCACTTGAGCTTTCTTGAATTCTTTTCAAAGAATTCAAGAACCATTGTTCTGATTTACCTTCACAGAACTGAGGTACACACTGGGGAAGTGAAGTACTAAAGGTCAGCCAAGAAACCATAGCAGAACCAGGAGCAGAAGAAAGTTCGCTGAGTCCAACCCATAGTAACAGATTATGAACAAGGTAAAATTTGCAATTTACTAGCCAAGTCCTTATCTTTTCTCAAAAAAAAAAAAGACTAGATCAAATAAACACCAAAATAAAAGAGAAATTTCCCTTTGCATCCAGTGCATGCTTATCTTCTTTCGAGATGAAAAGCACTTCTAAGGAATAGCTTAAAGTACTCATATTCTTTTGCCAATTAAAGCATACTTTAAGACTATACAGAACTTGCAAACTGAAAGAAAACATTTCTGAACTAAGTATGGCAGCAGCAGAAGTACTTTGCACTGCAAATGTAACACCAAAGGAAAACCCAGCAGGCAGGCAAACGCTTACAGGCTACTTTACCTCTCGTTTTCTCCTTTCTTCCTGAGTTCGATGAAGGAGAGAAGCCTTTTCTTCCTATGAGACACAAAGAAAGACACTACTGCATTTTCATTCAAACACACTTCAACTGTGTTCAGGATATTTAATGCAGACTTCACTTCAGGGATTGCTCCAAATGCACACAAAACATAGAGAAAAGTAGGTGTAAATCATTTTCTGAACTCACAAATACATGGCAGGCAGCCCTCCCAGAAGAACACTGATGGAGGGAAGTTATGTCCCTGTGAAAAGGGACCAGCAAAGAGCAGCAAACTGTACTGATCCCTGTCCATGTCTGTGCTCTCAGCATCCCAACTACCCTGGCAAACATCAGCCATTTACAAATGGCAGAGCTGGAGCACAATAAGGTCCCAGTCCCACCAGATCATACCAGAAGTCTGAGTGTTTTCCTGCCTGGAGGGTACATAAATCCCTGGCCCAGGTGCACACAGCAAGCTGTGGCACGTTCAGAGCAATCACATCCTGTTCCAAAGCCCCTTGCTTTTGTCTAACTTACAAAAAAGCATGAAGCTCTTGTATTTACTTATCCTTTCTCTCAAAGCTTGTCCAGAAAAGATGTCAAGAGAGACACAGCATAAATGGCAGGAATTTTTTCTTTGAAAATTTTGAACTCTTCACCCAAATTAAGGCTACACATCAAAACTTTCAGGACAGTGATCTCACCAACAGAGAAAAAGACAAGAATACTGAAGTGTTCATGAGGCCTCAAAACCCAGTATTATTACAACAGAAAAACCAGGCATTTGCTTTTAAACCAGTCTTATACAAGTACTCACAGATTACAACATATAAACAAAGCTTTATTTGCAAGAGTCTCTTACTGGATGGTTCTGGGTAATTTCCAAGGAAACATACAAAATAACTCAATTTTGGTGCACAGTATTCAGTTTCCACTGCAAGCAACAGGAGATGAAAGCTGCCTGGCACCTTCCCAAATCCAGTCTAAAACACACAGCTGACTTAAGGAAACTATTTTCATTTACTGACACTACAAAACAAATGACAACTTTGTTTTTTTCTGTATGCCTGCATTTGCCTAGAGAAGAAATTAAAAAACACTCAAGCTGAAAATGTACTGTATTTTAATACACAAAAATCAATTTGAGGTTGGCAAACAAATGTTTATAAAATATTTAAGTACAGCTGAAACAACTGTGCTGGAATATTTTCTTCAGTGTCTACCAGCAGATAGAAAAAATGAGAGCAAAACTCTTCAGCACCTCTTTTTTGAAGATACAGAGGAAGCAAAGTCATGATTCTCTCAGTTTCTTTAGGATAGAAAATACTCTGACCACCAAGAGAGTGAAAAACAAAAAAATCCCAGGAGAAGGTTAACCATCTTTCCTCTAAAGACAGTATTTATGGCCAAAGACACCACTAACTACAGCTGTTGCCCTCTAAAGACAGGGTTTGCTCCATGTGTTAAACACAGGACAAACGAACTTAAGGAAATCCATACATAAGGATGATGTATCTCCACTCAAGCAGTACAGAAAGGCACACACAAAGACAAAACAAGGTACTAAATTAATAACCAACAAATGGCTTAAAGTTTCAGGACTTTTTCAACAGCTGATACCTGATGTATTAAAGAAGTTGGTGAAACGTCCCAGTTTAGAAGTGATCATTCTGCTGAAAGCACCATGTGAAGTGCATTTCTGCTTAGAAAAAACGTTTTGTAACTTGTCCTTACACTTCAGACAGAATTGAAAGAAAAAGCAGAACAAAATACAGAAAACAAATTGCTACGTGTGAATAGAGAAGATAATGGTATGAAAAAACACAAGACAGAAAATACAAAATATTAGTAGATAAAGGAAAATAAGTGGTCAGAGGGTTTATCAGAAAAAAACAATTTAAAATCATTTGAAGAGGGATGGAGATACAACAGGGCAGTGTATCCTTAGTATATCACCAGCTTTTCACTGATGAAGAACTGGGTCTCTCTGTAGCAATCAGTCTTTAATCCAATCCACTCTTAAACTAACAAAAGTTACGTTTTTAGTCAGCCACATACTTGCTTTGAGTACCTCTAAAGAAAAATGCCAACTTGCTAGAGTATAAATTAAACAAAATAGAAGAACTGTCCTAAGACAATAAAATATTCAGGTGTAAGTGCATCCCACCTTTACCAAATTACTATGGGTAAAATAATACTGTTATTCCTGTTCACAAGACATACACAGATCATAACTATGACTAAAGAATACATTTAAATTAAACTCAATAAAAATATATCCCCTTAAAGAGTTAGTAAATCAAGATGGAATACACTGCCCCTTCAGAAATTAAAAAGTAACCATGCATGTGCAGAAGAAAACAAACCTGCAGCAAGAAAGAGATTAAAAGAAACACGAAATAACCTTCTTCCAGTACAAAGGGCGTTCTATCAAAATCATTTCTTAAAGAGAGGTAACTGCAGTCACCTCTGAAATCCTCCCTGAACTGGCCCTTGACAAGCAGCGCTGTGACAAGGAGCTGACCTCAGCCGCTGCTGTTCTGCAGGGCTGGCTGTGAAGGATGACAGCGTTACTGCAGTGACACCCGTTTGACAACTCCCACCCAGAGCCTCCGACCGCTGCCAGCGCCAGCCGCAGCTCCAGCACCTCTCCCGCTGCCAGAGCTGCTCCCAGCAGGAGATGGCCCGACAGGAACTCCCAGAGATGGAACTCCTGGCTCACTCCTGCTCCCCAGCTCGCCCTGATCCCGGGCTGCCCACGCCACCGTCTTTCCTCTCCTGCCAGACAGGCACACGTCCAGTGTTGAGTGTTTCTTTCAAGGTAGGCAGGCAGACATGGCGGGGGGAACGAAGCCTGAGCTTGTCCTGACTGTCACTCCCAACTCAAAAGGGATGAAAAGCCCTTCCCTGAACCACAATCCTGACTTTTTATGGTGTGGTCTTCTTCCTTCCCTCCCAAGTGCAGAACAGGGAATACACCACCCGTGAGTTTTCATGCAACGTAGGACACATCTGGCTGTCCCTTTCCTGCCCGATGCTTTCTCCAAAAGAGAAAAGGCAACCAACCTCTTGCTCTAGCATTGAGCTGCACCGTGAAAACCCCATTTGAGAGGTTTTCTGTGGGGCACGGCACAAAGCAACAAGAAAGCAGAGACGTGACAGCAAAACACAGAGCGACATCGCAGAAACGACTCAGAGGGCAAGACAGAAGGAGGAAAGTGGTGAAAACAGAGAAGCAGATGGAGGACAGTACACAGAAAGGAAAATGTGTGACTGCCACCAAAGAAATGCTGAGTAACATCCGAAATGTTAATTTGTACACGGGGATAACACAGAGTTCCATGTACTGAGCTGTTCATCACAGCCAAGTTCCTGGTGGCAGCAATCGGGAACAGCCACATCTGACAGTGGAACAATGTCAATGTCAGCGTTTCAAAACCAGCAGTTCAATCCATCATACCAAAAGAATGTTAAATTGAAGTTATTTTCTTACCCTGGTTTTGCTGAAATACACTTTTTGGCTGCAGAAGCAACGTTTGCAGAACTCCTAGCTTTCACATACCCTAGCCAAAGACTGAAGTAAGGTACAAAAATATAGAAACTATTACTCTTTTCCTTCTGCACTTGAACACTTTGTCTTGAGAGAAATAAACTTTCAGCCTTCTTGGCTCAAAATCCAGATTCACAAAAATAAAATGTATACATAATTAAATCCTCTTCAACACTTCTAATATTTGTTGACTCCTAAAATCTGAAATTGAACATTCTTGGACAGCTATTTACTGGCTATCCTATAGCAAATAAATTTAAAACCTAAATATGTCCAGATGCAAAGATGAAACTGAATAATAATTTTCAGGTACTAGCTAAACACAGATTTTTTTAAAAAATTAATAATAACACACTGAAGCAAAAATTTAATATCATTAATAAATGGTTGATGCCTCTTTATAAATGAAGAGAGTTTATTTTGGTTAGTAGCTGAGAATGCTTTGTATTTCACACTACAAGAGGTCATGCAAAGTACAAGGCATGACTTTTTATGAAATTTTCTTTAAAAAACAAATAAACACTTGACCTTTTTTAATTTTTGTGGACAATTATAAAAACTTGTGTGGTTTTCATCTACAAAATCCAGGAACTTGAATCCTTTTTTTCTTTCCTTAAAATAAGGAACATGACTTTACAGCTGAATTTAACTCAAACCACATAAAAATCAGTAACAACTCCCAAAACAAATGAAGTGACCTAAGCAATTTATAGAATAAAATTCCTTTCAACACAAGCATTCAGTAATTCCAGCCAATAAACGGAAAAAAAATTAACATTTATTTTTACAGAATAAATGTGACCACTGGGAAATATCCCCCACCTTCTCTCTTTCAACACAAGCATTCAGTAACTCCAGCCAATAAATGGAAAAAAATTTTAACATTTATTTTTACAGAATAAATGTGGCCACTGGGAAATATCCCCCACCTTCTCAACAATGCTGCAATCTCCTGACATTATTTTAGACAAGATGAACTCCAAGTGGGTTTTTTTATCTGAACAGTAAAAGAAATTTGCATTTTAAAAGGCTTACAATGCCTTGAACTGAACCTCAACCATTTAAATTCCATTGAACATGTCTGAATATGTTCAGCAGCCTGAAATCTTCTGCTTTTAACCAGTTTGTGATTCTTCTTAATAAAGATGTAAATAATCAGACAAATTTATATGTAGAGCAGACAATCCTGCAGAAGAAGGGAGTTTGAACTTTGCCCAGGAGAGGCGTTTGGCCCTGCAAAGCCTGACCTCACTGAAGCCAGTGTCACAGTGCTTGCCAGAAAACACCTCAGCTGAACTTTAGCTGAAATTTACTCTGGGGTGTAGGGAGGATCTGGAACCTCTTCTATCATGGTACCCACAAAACCACACACGGGGGAACCAGGATTTGACTAGAGGCTCTAGAGGCCAACTGAAATGCAAGAAAGTTGTGTTTACATTTATGCTCAGTTTGTCCCTGTTATGATTTTTAAGATGTATATTGCACACAGAGCTGTAGGTGAATGAT